GGCCGCAACCCCCGCAGCGCCGCCTCCATCACGCCAGCTGCGGCGCGCAGTGATGACGCACTTCGCGCGCCCGCTCAGCCTCAGCCCCACTCTCCCCCCGCGTCCCGCCCCCGTGCCGTTGCGATTGGCTACCCGGCTCCCTTCGTCTGCTTCCCACTGGTGGGGAGCCCTGTCAGTCGCAGGTGAGCGTCGCTGCGGCTGCCATGGAGCCGGGACAGCTCTCAAGCAACTGAGCCCGAGTCCCTCCCGCGGGGCGCCTCCCGTGGCAGGAACCGGTGCTGCCCGCCCGCCCGGCCTGTCCTCCTGCTCCAGCCTGAGTTTGTTTTATTGATTTTTTTTTTATTATTATTATTATTATTTCTATTTCTGTTTATTTATTATTATTTTATATTTATCATTATTATTTCTGTTTTTATTTATTATTATTATTTTGTATTTATTGTTGTTGTTATTCATTTTAGGGGGGGTTGTTTATGATTATTATGTTTCGTGCTCCAGGTCAAATCAGCCAAATCAGTTCCAGGTCACGACGGCTGAGCGAAACTCAGCGGTTCCAGAAACTGTGCGGATCGAGCAGGCATCAGTGGATCTAAACACCTTGTGCAGCTACAGCCGGCGACCATCCTCTGTCCCAGGCTCTCACCCTGGCAGTGCCAGATCATGACACGCTGAGGCCCTAAGCTATGTCCAATTTAAGAGGCCCCATACGATAAAAATAATCCAATGTATGTATATTTTTTGTCATATTAGAAAAAAAAAATTGTCCGTATTTAAAGCGTCATTTTCCCATATTTCCTTTATGTTCTTTATTTACCAACTGAGTATTAGAAAACTTGATAGTGAGTCAAGTTTTTTTCTTATTTGATGGCCCCTCATATTGTGAGGCACTAAACTGTAAGTAGCTTAAACCTAAATCCAGCACTGCACCCTATTCCCAAATCCATTGGCAGGCATCCTATATGCAGGCCCAAGCCCGGAGGACCTGGGATTCGGATGCCCCCACTTGATCTTAGCCCAGAGGCCAAGACACTTGATCTGAGCCAAAGTTTAAACCCACCCGCCAGGCCGGGCCCAGCATCTCCAGACAAGCAGCACCAAGGGAGTCAGGGGCTATGCATAGGGGGTGTACAGGGATACACATGCACCCCCTGAGTGTGCCCCCTGTCAGGCCACACTCCTTGTGTAGCTAGTGGGCAGGGGGGCAGGCAGGAGCCTGCAAGTGCTAGCTGGTGAGCGGGGCCACAAGCAAAAGTAGCATTGCCACTTTTACTGTGAGTGAGATCAGTCCCCCCAGCCAGTGGGACTCCTCCCCCCCATCAGCAGGATTGGCCGCCAGGGGAACTCCCTCTCCCCCATGGTCCCTGACGTGTCAGGGGCACCAGACACCCATGGAGGGAGTCCATTGACTTCGTGGCTCATTATAATGGACCCGATCCCTTCTAAACTCTTCGCTCCCAAGCTGTTAAGGACCCTCCTTTCTTTGTATCGGTCTCAATGTTCCCCCAGTACAGCCAGGTTTTGTTCTGCCATCCTGTGCCTGGTCCTGAAGCTCATATGTTGCAGGTTGCTTTTAAGTTGTTCCAGTGATGTCCTATTTATTTTTGCCTCCATCTCAAACAGAACAATCCAGCCCCTAGCAGATGAGTAACGCTTCTAGTTTCTTTATAAAGTGGAGAAAAATGCACACTGTGTTACATGGGATGAGGTGCCTCACCTCTGCACCCCCTTTTCCAAAGTCTAGATCTGCCCATCAATGTATTGGATTCTAAAATTATTCTACAGCTGAATGCTTATTTATCACACAAACGCATGGGATATTGACTGTTTTATTCAGCTTGAAAACTATTCCAGCTGTGTTACTGTATAACATGTTTTGTAACTAAAGACTGGAATAAAGATTGCAAGCACTAGACTGCAGCTCTCATGATTTCAGTGAAACTGTAAAGGGTAGAAATCTGCAGATTGGGCCACATTATAGGTAGGACTCTGCTGAGAAGAAATATAAACTATTTTTGGATTTACTTTCCTTAGGGTAGCAGGCATTTGAACATTTGAAATTACAAGTCATCCTCGATTGTCTGCATTCTCAAATCTGAACATATACCCAATGAGGTACATACTCCTGAGGAGTTCCTACTAGAAATCTGGCAAGGGGCTAATCAAATCTGTAATTTGTTAAAGAGCTTCAGCATGCATTTAACTTCAAGCAGGTACTTAGACACATCCTTAAGTGGAGCTCAATGGAATTTTAAGTGCAAAGAGATGCTTTTCTGAATCAGGGCCTAAGTTCTGATACCTGCAGCAGGCAATATGTGTTGTTTTTTTTTATCCAGGGCTCAGGTCACCACAGTATTTACAATGCTTTACATCTAGTAAGGCAAAACATCAGAAAATTACCTCGTCAACTGGGTTACAGCAACTCTGACTCTCTCTCCCTGCTCTAAAGAGGATTCATACCCAGGGATCTTAGTTTTCTCTATTTAAAAATGGCAAATTCTCTAATAAAAATCCCAAATTCCCTGATTAAACCCCCAAATCTACATTTTTCAGCAACTAAATTTAAATACTACA